AGACCAAGCCTTAGGTGTTTGTCTTCTCATAGTACTATATGTTACGAAGCTGTGTGGTATTGGTCCAAGACCAATATTGCTGGGGTAAATAATGACATAGTTACCACCATTGTAGCAGTTTTTTGACAAGCTGAGACCAAAGATGGGCTGTCTCTCCCAGGGAGCTTTGACCAGTGAGGCTCTTAACAGAGAGAAGTGAGGAAAGTCTTCCAAATTCAACACTCTGGAAGGAAAAGGACAGGAGAGGAGGAGGCTTCCATTTTCTGTATAAATCAATCACTTCACACCTCAGGTGAAGCTATGCAAGTTGTAGAAAAGTAAACAGGTTTGACTAAATTGTTTCCATTTCATAATATAGGGCCACATTTTAAGGACTGCCTCTAATTATGCATTTGCAACCAATTGCAGGAATAAATAATATGATTTTGTCAGGTAGCTACCCAATTATGGTCACAAATCAAGTAATTAGATGTCTAAATCTAATAATTTTTACTTGTAGTTGATTGTACCTGCAAAATTAGAAGCTAAATGGAAACCTGTTTAACAATTTGGCCCATAAGGTTTTGTCATATATAAGTCCAAAGTCCTTGTCTTTGGGCTCTAATGGAATCTATATATGCCTACCTACTTTTATCGATTATGTTTGCACGCGAACATTTAGTTGTGTTTTAACACATTAATTAATAAGGTTGTAAATTATTGTCCGTACAGGACACAAACATTTGTTGCCTATTATATTTAGACCTCGGCTACAGCCTACGATCAAACATAAGTAGAAGCAAGTGTTTGTGTAGTGTCTACACTAGAATTTACAACCACATTAATTAACAAGTGTTAAAACAAAACTAAAAAATTATATCCACATATGGCTTCTATCATATTTTCTGAGTAGCTACTACAGTGTATGAGCACTTACACTTTAATATCTTTCAAGTGGTAATTTGGTTAAATTGAGACGCTTCTGCCCCGATTATGAATAACATTATGGTTTAACAACGTCGTCAATATAATGCTGCAATTCTGTAGGGATTATTAGAGCCTTTCATATCTGAGCAAATAACTTTCTGCATATCAAATGCCTATGCTAAAAGATTTTGTTTTTAGTGTTCAGTCGGGTAGTAGTTTTATTACATAGTGTTAAATGTTTTTTTTCCAGGTCCAGTCCATGAAACAGTGTACGATTTTTGGAGAATGATATGGCAGGAACAGTCAGCTTGTGTTGTGATGGTTACAAATTTAGTTGAAGTTGGACGGGTAAGGAACTTTATTTTTAAAATGTTATATCCTAAGGATAGCCTCTCAAACTGCTGTTTATCATTGCCGAAGAAAATACAGAAAAGTCTTTTGAAAGACACCCTTAACTCTGGGGATGAAGGGGATAAGATAGTATTTTTCTGAGTTCATGTGTCCTTGCAACTTGAAGTAGCATTATATAGTATGGCTGCTTTATAAAGAAAAGACCCATCAAATCAGGCTGTTGCCATGTTATTTTCGTGAATAGGGAACAATGCCGCCTGAATCCATAATACAATATAGTGCATAAGAAACATTTCTATATTACTCTGTGCTCAGATGATCACAGCTAGCTGACTAGACAACAAGTGCACATCATCTTTAACAGCAGATAGAAATCAGCAGATTATTTTGCATTTTAGGATTAGCCAGTCTCTTGAGAATTACTTTAATAAAACACCTGAGATTGCTTTACAACAGCATAATTATTGAAATGGAAAACATCCCACAGCATTAATTAAAACCAGTGAAAACTATAGAATTCAGATTCACTAATTCAGAAAGATAATTTGGCCTTTGTGGAGAGATGTGTAAATCAGCATAAACACTTAATACTAACATTATGAACAGCTTTCACAGTACTTGATTGGCAGTTCGTGCATCTGGTCCACAGTAGGGTTCATATGACTACATCATCATTTTGAAAGTAATTGTGATATAAATTGTTAAGTTACTATTTGGCATGCTTTCACTTTCGTATGCTTTAAGGTGCCTTTTAATTTTGTTTTTAGGTCAAGTGCTATAAGTACTGGCCTGATGACACTGAAGTTTATGGGGACTTCAAAGTGACTTGTGTGGAAATGGAGCCACTTGCGGAGTACGTAGTAAGGACATTCACCCTTGAAAGGGTAAGCCCTTTGAAAGACATCAGAATATTGCTACTTTGCAGCTCAGTTTGTTAAACAGTGTCTTTCACATATTCATGTATAATACCAAATCATTCTGCCTAATTAACAATTCCATAATGCAGAATTTATTTTACCATGGGAGGAATATGTTACATCATTGGTTCCCAATCATTCATATACCCATAGCTCTTGTACTTCAATTTGTTTTGACTGGTGGTGTACACTTCCCTTCCTGACCTTAAAAACGAGCCTGTTTGCTGGGCCCAAGTACATTGTTCTTAACAATCTTCCATTCACTGAGGCATGTCCTGACCCTTACAGGAGTTAATGTTGCTCCAATACCCTGACTTGTGCATTACTTAGGGTATATCTACAATACGAAATTAGGTCGATTTTATAGAAGTCAATTTTTAGAAATCAATTTTATACAGTCGATTGTGTATGTCCCCACTAAGTGCATTAAGTCGGTGGAGTGTGTCCTCACTACCGTGGCTAGCATCGATTTATGGAGCGGTGCACTGCAGGTAGCTATCCCATAGTTCCCGCAGTCTCCGCTGCCCATTGGAATTCTGGGTTAAGCTCCCAATGCCTGATGGGGCAAAAACATTGTCATGGGTGGTTTTGGGTACGTGTTTGTCAGTCGCCCCTCCCTCCATGAACGCAACGACAGACAATTGTTTTGCACTTTTTTTCCTGGGTTACCAGGGCAGACGCCATACCACGCCATACCATGGCAGCATCGCATGGTCGCACCTACCCCAGCCTAGCCCTTGCTCCCATGGCTCATGAAGCCTGGACAGCAGTAAGGAGCAGTTCAACTATAGGCTGAGCAAGTGCAGAATGGTGGTAGAATGTGCCTTTGGACGTTTAAAAGCTCGCTGGTGCTGTTTGCTAATTAGGTCAGACCTCAGCGCAACCAACATTCCCATTGTTATTGCTGCTTGTTGCGTGCGCCATAATATCTGGGAAAGTAAGGGGGAGACGTTTATGGTGGGGTGGGATGTTGAAGCAAATTGCCTGGCGTCTGATTATGAGCAGCCAGACACCAGGGCGATTAGAAGACCACAGCAAGGTGTGCCGCACATCAGATAGGCTTTGAAAACCAGTTTCATGACTGGCCAGGCTTTGGTGTGACAGTTGTGTGTGTTTCTCCTTGATGCAAACCCGCCCCCTTTGTTGATTTTGATTCCCTGTAAGCCAATCACCCTCCCCCCTTCGAAATAAAGTAACTGTTGTTTTGAAACCATACATTCTTTCTTTATTAAAAAAAAAAGAGAGGGATAACGGATAAGATAGCCCGGATGGGGTGGGGGAGGAGGGAAGGACAAAGCCACATTGCTTATTGTAGCCACACTAAAAATCAAACTGTTTGAATGACAGCCTTCTGTTGCTTGGGCCATCCTCTGCAGTGGAGTGGCTGGGTGCCCGGAGCCTCTCTTTTCCCCCCACCCCCACCCCACGTTCTTGGGCTTCTGGGTGAGGAGGCTATGGAACATGGGGAGGAGGGGAGGTGGTTATACAGTGGATGCAGCAGGGGTCTGTGCTCTTGTTGGCTTTCCTGAAGCTCCAACAGACACTTCATCATGTCCGTTTGCTCCCCCATTAGCCTCAGAATCGCATCCTGCCTCCGCTCTTCGCGCTCACTTAATTCTTTCCTGGCCTCTGCCACTGAATGCCTCCATGCATTAAGCTGTGCCCTATCAGTGCAGGAGGACTGCATGAGCTCGGAAAACATGTCATCGCCAGTGGGTTTTTTTTCACCTTCTAATCTGCAATAACCTCAGGGACTGAGGGGGAGCATAGAAACATTCTACGCTGTACAATTCTGGGGGGACTTCATGGTCACCTGTGCTGCTGAGTTCGCCACGCTGACCAAACAGGGAAATGAAATTCAAAAGTTCCCAGGGCTTTTCCTGTGTACTTGGCTAGTGCATCGGAGTTCAAAGTGCTGTCCAGAGTGGTCACAATGGAGCACTCTGGGATAGCTCCCAAAGGCCAATACTGTCGATTTGCGTCTGCACTACCCCAAATTCGACCTAGCAAGGTCGATTTTAGCGCTACTCCCCTCGTCAGGGAGGAGTACAGAAGTCGATTTTAAGAGCCCTTTAGGTCGACAGAACAGGGTTGGTTGTGTGGACGCAGTCATTTTTAAATCGACCTAATGCAGCTAAATTCGACCTAACCCCGTAGTGTAGACCAGGGCTAAGAGTATGAACATAAACTAATATTAGGTAGCAAATACTAGCTGGTGTGGAACAGCTGTGGTCTTCTGGTATAACTGTTACACCTGTCTGCATGGGTTGGAGAATCATAATTTTATATATAGAAACATCAGTAAAATGCTTTTTTGTGTTGACTCTAAAAACTATTAGAACAGTTGGTCTAGCATACTTTAATAGCAAATATAAGTATTATGTGTTTCAGATTTGCAGTACATTATCAAAATATCACACTATGGCACCATTATACTATATAAGCCTTATGGGATATCCTTATGGGATAAGATGCCAGTCAGTTTAGAATGGATTCTGCTCTTTTTATGTATATTATTTATTAATAGCCATGTTTATATTCCATTGTAAAATCAGTTTTCCATAAAACATAGAATGCCATGTTCTTTGCTTAAATTATTTTGAGAAGACAATATGTAGATTCTAGCACTGTTGTCATTGCTTGACTCAGAGAATATTTTGGGTGTTGAATATTTTGAGTTTAATAACCTCTTTCAAAATATTATTTTTGTCTTTGGCAGAGAGGTTACAATGAAATCCGTGAACTTAAACAGTTCCATTTCACAGGCTGGCCAGATCATGGAGTTCCTTACAATGCCACAGGCCTCCTTTCATTTATACGTCGAGTCAAATTGTCTAACCCTCCTAGTGCCGGGCCTATTGTTGTACATTGCAGGTGTGTAGAGAAGAGGTAGATGAATTTTCTACAACTTTATACGTGAGCTTGTATAGTGGTCTCTTGTGAAGTTGTGGAGTTTGTCTTTTTGTTGTTTAACTTTTGGGAATGAATTTGCTCTTTCAACCTCCTGTCCATCCTGGAAGCAGAACTAGGCTAGGTACAGCAATGTTTAAACATAGCTTGATTCTAGTACAATTTCCCCGATTGGTACGGACAGATATTTTTTCCTCAAAACTGTTAGCCTACATTATAACAAGGTTTGGCTAACGTTTAACGTGCTCTATGGCAAAATTTTATGACAGAGTACTAGGATGGTATTTTGTTACTGCTATGTTGACATTTAAAATGTGCCTTTGTGAAATATAATTTTAAGTAGAATATTTAATTGAACATATGGCAACAAATAGATCCATCCAGTGAAGCAACATCCTGAAAAGAGCCTGGATATTGGATAGAGTGGGAACAACTAAAGAGTGTTGTTTTCCATGTACATTTTGCAAATTTTCCCTTATGGGGCACAGTTCGTTGAAATATGATTTCTTGGCAAATCCATCTAATGTGTTAACTACATTCTGCACATAGAGTTAGCCAAGTTGTGCATGTTGCAGGAATTCACTTTTCAAATATCTATAATAGTTATGTAAAAACCAGGAGAGACTCCCATACAATCCTGATATTGCACCAGAAGATTGTTAGCTGCCTAAACCAGAGTATAGGGGAGAGTCTATATTTTACAGTCAAACTTTCTTACCTGAAATTGTCCCTTGGGGAAAAAACGGTCCCCCTTAGTCTCTCTGAATAAAGATAAGTCTTATATGTTTGGAAGGGATTCCATAAAGAGCATAGTCATCCTGAAGATCTCTGTTATCTAACAAGTCTGTTACTACAGTTTTGTTTCTGGACCATGAAGGAATGTTCTGAGATACTAAAAAGGAACCTCACTGATACTGTTTTTACCTAACCTGAGATCTGTTGAAAAGTTCTTGCTTTTGAGTTGTATACATTTCATGTGTGTTTAAATGCTATTCTGAAGAATAAAGGGGGAAACTGGAGATTATGTAATGGTTGGAAAGATATGTATGAGAACTTCGGTTAGTGTTCGAAGTGTGTACTTGTAAATGCCAAAGACAGTTTGCTAAATTTGTGAGGTAGATTTTCTGGATTGTGGGGAGTACTCTGAAATTATTTCCTAATTCTTTCCAGTGCTGGTGCTGGACGAACTGGCTGTTACATTGTGATTGACATCATGCTAGACATGGCAGAAAGAGAAGGTGTTGTGGACATCTACAATTGTGTCAAAGCCTTACGGTCACGTCGCATCAACATGGTACAAACAGAGGTATGATAGCTTATCTGCAATGGATCTAATGCTTTCCTAGCTGCATTAAGTCAGAATTTTATTTCTGTAATCAATACAGCAAAATCCTCTTCATCAGTCACCCATCCCGCCCTCCCCACCAGCAGATGGCTATTTATCCACAGTAAGAGGAATTTCTGAATGAGAACAGTACTATGGAGCCAGGAGCAGCCCTTTGCCTGCTCCCAAACTGGAGCCCATCCAATCCAGAACAATAGAACCCAGTAGCTTCCACACACTCCAGCATCAGCACGGTCCAAACCACCTTCCAAGCGCTGGGCCTACTGATAAAAGAGCAAAAGTCAACTCTTGTCCTGGCTCAGAGAATAGAATTTTTTAGGTGGTGCTTGACTCGACCCAACCCAGGGCCTTTCTGCCAGAGGCCTGATTCCGGACTATGTTGGACCTGATATCCAATGTTATGGTCCATCCAATTACGACAGCTCGGGTTTGCCTCAAGCTACTGGGGCACATGATGGCATGTACTTACGTGGTTCAGGGTGCAAGACTGTGCCTCAGACCCCTCCAGATGTGGCTAGCATCAGTATACTTCCTAAGCAGACACCACTTGAACTCCAGTATGCCCCTAGTCTTTGCCTCCCTGCACTGGTGGAAAGACCCAAGATCGGTAATGATGGGGTTACCCTTTATTACCTTTCAACCATCAGTAGTTTTAATCTTGGATGCATCAGACCTAGAGTGGAGAGCCCACATTAGGACACAGGGCCTCTGGTCCCAAGAAGAACTCTCCCTGCACATAAACCTCAGGGAGCTCAGGGCAGTACACTTAGCTTGCCAAGTGTTCCTTCCCCAGATCTCAGGTAATGTGGTGCAAGTCCTGATAGACAATACCACAGACGTGTTCTATATCAACAAGCAGGGAGGTGCCCGATCTTCAGCTCTTTGTCAGGAGGCTATCTGTCTGGGATTTCTGCACGAAGTACTCCATTCATCCCGAGGTGTCACCTCTCCCAGGAGCCTGGAATGTACTGGCAGATCACCTCAGCAGATCCCTTTCCTCTCACCATGAGTGGTCCCTTCACCTGAAGGCACCAAGTTAATCTTCCACAGGCCGGGGCCTCCCCAGGTGGACCTGTTTATTATCAGACAGAACAGAAAATGCCATCAGTTTTGCTCGCTGTCTGGGCACAGCTCAGGCTCCCTCTCCAATACTTTCCTGCTCCCATTGACAGAGCTCCGATTCTATGCCTTTCCTCCAATCCCTCTGGTTTACAACGTCCTCCTAAAAGTCAAACGAACAAGGCAAGAATAATTCTGACTGGTTTGGTGTGCTCCCGGATCTGTCAGTAGCAGCTGCACTCTCGCTCCCACTCAGCCCCTAATCTCACAAGACCACGGCAGGTTGCTTCACCCGAACCTCGCTTCCCTGCTCCTAATTGCATGGATGCTGCATGGCTGAACCCAGAAGAACAGGCTTGCTCAGAACAGGTCCAGCAGGTCTTGCTGTGTTGTAGAAAAGCGTCCACCAGGGCTACCTACCTGGCCAAATGGAAGCGCTTCTCAACATTGCATCTCAATGAGCTCTCTCTCCATCTCGATCTTCCCTTCAATCTATGTTGGACTACTTGCTCCACTTAAAGCAAGAGGGCCTGATTCCTCTTGTCTATCAAGGTGCACTTAGCAGCCATCTCAGCTTTCCACCCACCGGTGAACAGCAGGTCAGTGTTCTCCCATGAGATGGCTGTATGTTTCTCAAAGGGCTGGAGAAGCTCTATCCTCAGGTCCATGAGCCAATTCCCCCATGGGACTTAAACCTGGTTCTGTCAAAACCTTTTGACAAAAACTTTTGTCCTGAAGGAACAAAATGGACACCGTGTAGAGTCAAGCACGTGAGTTTATTCCGCACAGCACTGGCGGAGTATCACTTTGCTTATTAGGCTCAGAGACACTTCCAAGCAATTGATTACAATAGATTATATAGGGGTGGAGGGAAGCGATGGGTGGGAGGTCCCGAGCCCCTGGATAGGTTCTAGCAGCAAGACAAGATAAGCACAATAAGCCAATAGTCTAAAAGATTACATAATGGCTCCGTCCATGGTTTCAGGTTAACATACAACATACTGTGTACCGGGGAGGGATAGCTCAGTGGTTTGAGCATTGGCCTGCTAAACCCAGCGTTGTGAGTTCAATCCTTGAAGAGGCCATTTAGAGATCTGGGGCAAAAATCTGGGGATTGGTCCTACTCTGAGCAGCGGGTTGGACTAGATGACCTCCTGAGGTCCCTTCCAACCCTGATATTCTATGATTTTATAAGTTGAATCCTGATTTGGGGTCCATAGGAATGAGGCAGCTCTTCTCATTGTCCAACAGGTACATTCCTGGGGGTTAAAGCAAAAAGACATTGAAAAGTACATGGCAATAGAAATTGTTTTCAGGGTGCCCCATTTTGTTCCTAAAAGCTAACGTTGGCATCTAGGGATGGGATGCATCTGTGGAGGGGAGGATGTCATATCTCATACTGACATGTTTGGGCCTCTCCATGAACTCTAGGCTGGTATGTAGGGAGGGTATTTGCTATCTCCTTCCTGCACTAAGGAGTGGATATTTTGAGGCCCCTTCCAATGTTTGGTATGTCTGTAACTTCTGATAAGGACACCAATTACTGCTCCCCATCTGGAGTTCTGCTGACTATGCTTTATCTAATAAGAAGCAAGGTTGTCGCTGGTTTATTCAGCTTTTCTTAGGCAATATTATTCATTGTTAACTAGGCCTCCAGCTCAAACCAAGCTTTGGACTTTGGGCCTATGTGAAAAGTTGCTGACAGAGCCTGCGGTCAGGATTTTACAGACAGCAAATGGATCATGGTCCTTCAGGTCCCCTCTTCAAGCCGCTAGCATCATGCCCCCTGTTGCAATCACCTTGGCTGGAAGGGTCTCTGAAATCAAGACCTTTACATCAGAATCGCCTCACATGGAGTTCTTCAAGGACAAGGTCCAGCCATGCCCTGATCTGGCCTTCCTGCTACAATTTCATATCAATCAGGCCAGCCAAGAGCCCAGGCCTCATCAGCAGAGTTCCTCTCACAGTTCCCAATCCAGGACATTTGCAGGGCCACAACCTAGTCATCAGCACAGACCTTCGCTTCTCACTACACCATCACCCAACAGGCCTGGGACAACGCTCGTTTTGGGAGAGCGGTGTTGCTGTCAGCGTGTCCATGACCTCTGAGCCCACCTCCTGGGGTACTGCTTGTGAGTCACCTAACATGGAATGGACATGAGCAAGCACTCGAAGAAGAAAAAATAGTTACTAACTTTTCTATAACTGTCGTTCTTCAAGGTGTGTTGCTCATGTCTGTGCCACAACCCACCCTCCTGCCCCTCTGTCAGAGTTAAGGACAAGAAGCAACTGAGAGGGTGCAGAGCTGGCAGCACTTTTTAAACCGGCGCATAAGTGCACAGCACCAGCGAGTGCTAAAGCCGGCTTGACAGATACCACTAAGGGAAAAATCTCTGGCAGTGGTGCACAAATACACCTAACATGGAATGGACATGAGCAGCAAGACATCTCAAAGAACACAGAAAGCTTAGTAACCGTTTTCTCTAATAACAAAGTAATAAAAGCTACCATCATGAAGCGTTCACACCACTGAGTCACCACACAATCTTACTGTCATTCTCATGGTCCCTTCCACTTACTCTCCCAGTTGTTTGTTACCTCTTGTCTATCCTTGGATTTTAAATTCTTTGTGGGCAGAAACTGTCTGTTACAAACTCTCTGATGTGACTAACACACGGTGGGTGTTGCAGGCTTGCCGTCAGAAATTCTGGGGGGCCGGGACTGGGGCAGAAGTGACACATCCGTCACTTCCAGGACCACCCGCGCCGGCCAATCATGCCGTCCCAGGGGGTCCCCCAAAGCGTGGGTCCCAGAGCAGTTTCGCATCCCTAGGAGTCCCGCGGGCCGCCCAGGCGATTTAAAAGACAGAAGCCGCCGAATTGCTGCCGTGGGCAGCTGAACATAGAAGCTGCCACTGAATTGCTGCCGCCACAGAAACGCGCGTGCCGTCCTAACGGGACATGGACTGCCCCCACCGTCCACAGCAGCAATTCGGCGCACTGCTTGGGGCGGCAAAAACACATGGACTGCCGCCCCTTGCAGATTGCCACCCCAAGCATCTGCTTCGAATGCTGGTGCCTGGAGCCAGCCCTGGCCCCGGCTCCCAGCTGCCACGGCTGTTACTGTGGCCCCGGCAGCCAGGGGGCCCCGGGCCCTTTTAAATCGCCCGGGCGCCTGGGCAATTGCTCCCTTTGCCGTCCCCTGTCGACAAGCGTGTGGCGTTTGTATAATATTTGACAAAAGATACTGTTGGAATAATGATGCAGCTGGCTGGGGGCTGCAGACTCACTGGACAGGCCAACAGAATCAGGAGGCAGCATTTCCTGTATTGGCGTAATGCTGAGTCTATTGCCTGCCCCAGTGCTAGGTATGAGACACTAGGTATACCAGTCCACACGCATAAAGTAGCATGAAATATGCCACATAATTGCTAGGAGCAGGTAGTGCTTGAAGCATTGTATATGCTTTCTTTATGTATCACGGAACTGAAAGCTACTATTAAGGAAGCAAATAAGCAGAACCAGCATGAAACTGTCTCCCACACTGACCTATGCACCACAAAATCGCCTGAAAATTCCCCCATTAAGCAAATTAGTGTACTTATGCTCTTACTATTGCTGGACTTAAATTGGTTCTCAGGGAAACATACTGATTAACTGCATCCCAGTTAGGCAGATTGTACTGTACTTAAGGTGCTAAAGCAATATCCAATGGATTGATGGAAGCTGCTTTGAATAAGATTTATAGAGGGGGAAGATCTGCTTATCTTGAAGGAAAGTAAGATTTTATTTTGTTTTTAAATTGCTAGATTTTTCTTTTCTTTTCCTCTTTGGTAGGAGCAGTACATCTTTATTCATGATGCCATTCTGGAAGCTTGCTTATGTGGAGAAACTGCCATCCCTGTCTGTGAATTCAAAGCTGCATATTTTGATATGATTAGAATAGACTCTCAGACAAACTCTTCACATCTCAAAGATGAATTTCAGGTATTTATAATTACTGGTAGCTCTTCATAGAATAGCAACTTTTTTTGCCTCTAGGTACATATAATTTCTTTTAAGAAAAAAGACTTTCATAACAAATTCATAACCTTTGTCCCTTTCTTGTATTTAAGATAATATAGCACCCTTTTCTTTTATTATGTACTTTACAAGGTCACTCTTAAATATGAAATACCCTTCTTAGATTATAATTGCAATAGACTGCTGACTATAATGAACAGTACTGACCTTGAACTGGCAGGATGGGGGAGTTATTTTGCATTTTAAGCAAGTGAGACATAGTTCATGTGTTTCACAAGATTCTCTTCTATTTTCTTCCCTTTTGGATTGCATGTTAGAGGGGGATGCGCTTAGAGGATCCGTTCAGCAGTTCCTGATGTGTCTTCCTACCTGAGCTTTCATTCATTTAAACTGAAAAAATGTCAAGTTTCTCAAGCAGACACATGCTCTTGTTTGCTTGTAATTTTTCATGTTTCCCACATTGCAACATTTTAAATGAATGAATTTCAAGAACACTGTATATCAGATGCACTATAACATGATATTGATTCCCTCTGCTGTTTAGACCCTGAATTCTGTGACCCCTCGGCTGCAAGCTGAAGATTGCAGCATAGCCTGCTTGCCAAGGAATCATGACAAGAATCGCTTCATGGATATGCTGCCACCTGACAGATGTCTGCCTTTCTTAATTACTATTGATGGGGAGAGCAGCAACTATATCAATGCTGCTCTTATGGATGTAAGAGACTATCTCCTTTGTCTATGTAATGTGCCATGAAAAGCTGTGTAATATGAGAGAGAACTCTTGCTGGTTAAAGAAAGGGTAATTTTTTCTTCCTGTAGTGTTCAGTAAAATGGTCTTAACAAAGAAGGGAGAGGGAAGTCTTGGCAACATTTTTAAAATCCACTAACTTTTGTTGTTCCTTTACAACATTAGATATCTCAGATGTCTCAGTGCTTCTGTGATCCTCTGGAAAGCTGGGAGCTCCCCTTTTTAATAGTATACCTCTACCTCGATATAACGTGACCCAATATAACACAAATTCTGATATAACACGGTAAAACAGTACTCCGGGGGGGCGGGGCTGCTCACTCCGGTGGATCAAAGTAAGTTCAATTTACCCCGGTTTCACCTATAACGCGGTAAGATTTTTTGGCTCCCGAGGACAGCGTTATATCGAGGTAGAGGTGTATTGTATTAAATCTCCAATTTCCATTCCTCCATAGTCACAATATATAGCATCTTCAAATCTGTCACTGGTCCAGAAATGAATACTGCTCATCTGAGCTTTGGGCTAACAATTTGTGGGTAGCAATTCCATATTTGTTGGGGGGAAAAGGAAGTCCTGCCAAGCCACCCCATCCCTTTCCATCTCAGCACCCATGCCCCCAAATGTGATCTGATGTAACAGTCCCACTATAGCTGGTATCCCTTGTGTTGTGTCTCCTCCTTCTGCTACTTGCAACCCATGTGTTGCCGGGACACCAGGAGCTGGAGGCTGCAGGGAGTAGATCCGAACACCCTGTTCTCAGCCTCCAGGAGGTTAGTCCCATTGAAGCCTTAGTTTGCACTGCTTTGTGCCTCCTCTCTGCTGCCAGCAGTCTATGTGCTACAGGGCCAGAAGTTCCTCAGTGGCAGCCACATGGACTGCAGCCATCAGGAGATAGAGCAGCTCCAGTCCTATCAGGAGTATTCCAGTCGCAGTAGGAGGTAGTGCAGCCTGAGTACATCAGTAACTACACAGCTGTGTCCTTACCAGTGGGAATTAGTCCCTAATTACCAGCCTTCTCTGCCTTTAAAAATAACTGCCAGCCCCCATTCCCCCCCCCCCCCCGGACTATCATTCTTCCCAGATAGCAACAGCGCATGACAGTCACTTGCTGGTCTTCTGTTGACTCCTTCCACTAGTGACAACATAGCAATGCTCACAGCCTGAGTCGAACCCCAACCAAGAGATGCAGGGAGGGGATGTAAAATGCCAAAAGACTTCTCCAATAAAACTATTTTAAAAGTTTTTTTAAACTTGAAAACTTTTTGATGTCAGCCCGAAGAGCGGTTGATAAAGAAAAGAAAATCGCTTTAAGCTCAGTTAGGGGAGGAAAGGGGGCCTTGTGGTTATCGCACCATCATGGGACTCAAGGTCTAGGTCCAGTTCCTGGCTGAGTCACAGACTTGTTGTGTGAACTTGGTTAAATCAATCTTTCTGTGCCTCGGTATCCCCCTCTGTAAAATGGGGCTAATACATCTCTACTTTGTCTCCCAAGTATTCTAAGATAATCTGAAACCATGATGAATGCATGTAATATAAGCACCAGTTCTGCAAAATATGCAACAATGGGCTCAACTTTTGAGTGATTAATTTAAAGGGGATTTATGCATATGTGACCTGTTTCCCCCCCCCCCCCCCACCTTTAAGATATCTTATTGTCTGAATAGTTGTTCTGGTTAAAATTGCTAGATTTTATTCCACTACATTGTTTTAGTTATGTTGCCAAGAGGCCCAGACTTTGCATAATCGTTATTCAGTGCTTTCTTTACTAATATTCCCCTATTCACTCCTTTTCTTTACAGAGCTACAGGCAACCAGCTGCTTTCATTGTCACACAACATCCTTTGCCAAACACTGTGAAAGATTTCTGGAGATTAGTGTATGACTATGGCTGTACCTCTCTTGTAATGTTAAATGAAGTTGATTTAGCACAGGTTAGTGTTTGCGTATGGGGGTTTTGTGAACAAATTAATGCATCAAGGCGGTTACGCTTTGTAATAGGGTGAATGTAATTACAGTGCAGTTTCATTGCAATTACAGTGTAATTACCCTGTGGCTTTGCTTTTCAATAACTAACTAGTATTAATTAACATATCTATTACTGTGCTATAAAGTGTGTTACAATAATAATGAAATACTACAATATTCATGATGCAACTTAAATTTTAATTGTATCCATTTTATTCTTGTTCAGGGCTGTCCACAGTATTGGCCTGAAGAAGGAATGCTGAGATATGGTCCTATTCAAGTGGAATGCATGTCTTGTTCAATGGATTGTGATGTAATAAACAGAATTTTCAGGATATGCAATCTAACAAGAGTAAGTATCATCATAATGATAACAGCTAACTGAGCTATTGTGGATTTGAGTATTACATAATACTAAATATACAATATTAATTCTCTTCAGACATTAAGCAGAACAGAATTAAACATTCAGTTCCTAAGATTTAACTATTTTTCTACAGCTGCCTATAATGGACACAAGCAGTATTTCATTTTATAACTGTCATATGAAATTGCATGTAAGCATATCTGAAGGACACTTGTGGTTATGTAATTAACACCTCATGGGCGTTGTGGTGCAAGAACCACAAAACAAAGCAGAAGCATTATGACATTCTACTAAATATGTGTGAAAAGACTCAGTTATTCTGGTTTTGGAGGTTCTTGAGACACTGTGCCCAGACCTACATTTACTAAAATGTTCTCTCCACCTCCAGTAATGATGCAAGTCTTGATGCACTTTTCATCTTTTATCCATTACTGTCTCTGTCTTCTTTAATGTTGTCCTGCATTCTTTCAACACTCTCAAACCCTGCGTATCAGCCACTACCTTCTCCTTCAGATCTCCACTAGAAACTCATTTCTGCTATGTTGCCTGCATGCAATGAGTTAAAGAAAAATTTGTGAGAACCAGTAGGTTAAGCTGTTGTAACCATCCCCCACTTTATTACCCTCACTTGTTACATCTCATATTTAGAGATCAAGTTCGGACACGTCTGTGAAGTACATAGCATATTTCTAATTTAACTCATAAATGATTATGATAATGGATATGGGGAAACGAAAGGGTGTTGCAAAGGCTCTTCTGTCAGGTTTTGATTTCCCAAGCTATTTTTCATAGGTGGTTCAGAACTGGGTCATGTTTTATCCATACTCTATGCTTTAGTTGAAAGGAGTGTTAAGCAAAATGTTTTCATCTCTCTTTTTAACTCTCCTTGTTGTGTCTGGGAAATTCAATACAGTGTAGAGATATTAATACATTTAATGATTATGCTGTAGTCCTTTTTTGTTTCTTATATTTTGTAGTTTCCTTGTTCCTGTCTCTTTCACTTGTTCCATCTCTTATTTTCATTCTCTCCATTTCTTTTGGCTTTAAATTTTTTGTTTCCTCTGTCTCTCTCCATTCTCCCTTTCCTGTGAACCTTTCGTTCTCTCTGCACCATCTCTTTTCCCCCCCAGGACCCCACATCTCTTTCCATCTTTGCCTGCTCCCGCTACATGAAACCAGAGTGAGTTATTTATTCTTTAGGGCAGCCAGGTACAGGAAACCTTTTCTGAAACATTCTAAGCCACCCCAGAACACTCTGTGTCTGAAACTCAGTTTAGGAAAGGCTCAGAGATCTGTCATCAGGATATGATGGGCTGGCAAAAGGAGCAGACTCCATTCAAGCAAAAAACATATTTGTACACCACCGTTATTTGTTGTTGTTTTATAACTGGAAATACTTTGTCAGGATAAGTGCTCCTACCGAGCCACTGCATTTCTGTAAGGTCTACAGATTCAACAACAGGGTTTTTTATTGCTTATGTAGAGGTAGAATTTTTTTTTAAAAAACGTAACTATTTAGAATCCAGAGAAATATCCCTGTTAGTTTATTTAGCAGTGGTTAAATTAGTGGCCCTATAAATTTTGATGTCCTAATTGCAACTACTCCAGAACATTTTCTTCTTAAACTTGTTCCATTGCGCCCTACTTCTGTAATTCTTACACAGACACCTTTATGCTATCTCTTTGTATGTATGCTCAGCACATACATGTAATGGAATTTGTGTGCAATATATACTCTGATTTAGTTCACATTGTTTTATCTGTTTAGTTTTCATAAACTGATTATAAATGTGCCATGTTAATGTAAAGTGGTTTGGCTTCCATCAGCCACAGGAAGGCTATCTGATGGTGCAGCAATTCCAGTATTTGGGATGGACTTCTCACAGAGACATTCCAGGCTCCAAGAGATCATTTTTGAAGTTAATTCTTCAAGTTGAAAAATGGCAAGAGGAATGTGAAGAAGGGGAAGGCCGAACTATCATTCACTGTCTGTGAGTAATTTTGTTGTGGCCGACTGGGTATGTGGCAGCATCTCGGACTGTTTAGCATCCAATTCATTATTTTAAGTTCAATCCAGTGCTCCTGTTAATACATTCTATTGCATGTGTCCTATTTTGTTTTCTTTAATTTTGGCCCTGGTACTTGTCACCCACTTCGGACTGGGGCCTACATACTGTGGAGATGAGCACAATAGAAGTGGCCGGCTGGACAGATATGTGTTCTCTTTTGCTGGGGTTTTCTAGAATCTCAATTTTCTCCTTTTACACCTAATGGCAGTGTTTTCCAGGTGGCTATAATTGAGGGTCCACAAGTGACTTCTGATCCAATACCATTATACTATTGAGTAATCCAACAGGATGCTTCTTTGTACAAAGGGTACGTCTACACTTACCGGAGGGTCCGGCGGCAGGCAATCGATGTTCTGGGATCGATTGATCGCGTCTTGTTTAGACGCGATATATCGATCCCGGAAGTGCTCGCCGTTGACGCCGGTACTCCAGCTCGGCGAGAGGAGTACGCGGCATCGACAGGAGAGCCTCCCTGCCACGTCTGGACCCGCGGTAAGTTCGGACTAAGGTACTTCGAATTCAGCTACGTTATTAACGTAGCTGAATTTGCGTACCTTAGTCCGAAGCGGGGGGTTAGTGGGGACCAGGCCTAAGTGGCAAGAGATTACATATACATCTATTTGTTACATCTATAGTAGTGCTAGTGAAAAATAATTAATGTACAGCATGTAGGCAGTACCTGCTTTTCTAGCACTGTCATTTAAAAAGAAGAGAGAAGAAAAAAACCCACTGACTCCCACCATATGTGTAACCAATTAAATGTCATCTTTAAAAGAGAGCTATTTTTAGGAAAAGGGGGAAAACCGGTATATTTTATATTTTTTTACATTCCCTGAATGAAAAGTGACCGATCTCTTTTCTACCATATTTCAACTTAAAGCTTCAATTTTAGCAGTTGAATAAACTGCCTTCAAAAGGAGGTTTATAATTAAGTGTTCACAGATCTCTTTTGACTCTTAACTACAGCAAAATTCCAGAATGCCCATATTGTGTCCACAGACTCATATAGTTTGTTTACGTAATTTAAATGTATATTCAAGAAAAAAACACCTATCCTGGTTTCCAGGAACTTTTGGAAATAATATCAAAAAGTTACAAAAAAGATTAGCAGCATCTCTAAAAATCAAATCAACAGAACACTCCAGTAATATTCTGCCACTATTCTTGTAGCTTGTGATGATTTAAAACAGTTCCCTCCAGAAACAAATGGAAAATGTTGCAGTTTATATTCATAACACTTGCTTTTAATTTCTCCTGCCCACTTCAGTTGTGTTATAGCATAGCTAGGCTGCATAATGAGCTATATAGCGTACCACAATTGATTCAAAACAGTATCAAGAGTGGCAGTGATGTCAGATGTTTCAAACCACATCACCTAGAGCTATGAGGGGATTGATAAAGGTCTGTCTCATCTAATGGGTCCCCCATCTTGTATTTTTACAAAATTAAAGATGAGATATATGTGACAGGTATATTTGTACGTTAACAGATGTATTAACTCTGTTGTTTTGCTTACATTCAGGAATGGTGGTGGTCGGAGTGGAATGTTCTGTGCTATAGGCATAGTGGTTGAAATGGTCAAAAGACAAAATGTGGTTGATGTTTTCCACGCAGTAAAGACGTTACGGAATAGTAAGCCAAACATGGTAGAAACCCCGGTAAGTTGCAGCACATTGATTGGAATTCAGACAGCCAGTTAGCAAGAAGGATAATATACAGTGTGTATTGATATGGCTCACTTGGGAGCACTCTCCCCTGGGATGCAGGTTGTTCATCATTTCAGTGGTGTGACCAAAAGTACTAGATCATGAATCTTGTGCTCAAAAAACATAGTAATCCATCTACTAGGGCTAGGAGACCTGCAGGTATCACCCTAGTATAATTCTAACAGTGAATGTAATATTCTGAGCAGGTGTACTGTTGTGAATTGTTACATCCTGAGTTGGAAACCTATTGCACATAGAAGGACTACACATTGGATAGCATGGTATTGTGTGTTTTGGTAGGTCATTTCTCTCCTACCATATCATCTGCTTTTCAAGGAAAATTTTCAGAACAGTTAGGCCTTTTCTACACTACGGGGGGGAGTTGGACCTGAGTTACGCAACTTCAGCTACGTGAATAATGTTGCTGAAGTTGACGTACTTAGATCTACTTACCGTGGGGTCCACTATGCTATGTCAACAGGAGACGCTCTCCTGTCGATTCCCCTTGCGCTTCTTGTTCAGGTGGAGTACAGGAGTTTATGGGAGAGTGATCTGCGGTCAATTTAGCGGGTCTTCACTAGACCTGCTAAATCAACCGCTGATGCATCGATCGCTGTGCCTCAATCCCCTGTTAAGTGTAGACAATCCCTTAGGGTACACTATAATCTCTCAAGATCAACCTATGTTCTTAAAGTAACACTATAGCTCATTTTGCTCAGACAAACTATCTTAAAAGTTTACAAGCCAAGACAGTTCTTCCTAAGAGGAATAAACTGTGAAGTGGAAATCTATTATATTTTGTAATTGCAATTGCTATTTCTGGGTCTTTGTGGTAATTTGTAACACTGCTTTCTGACAGAGCCAAAATGACACAGGGAAACTTTAATCTTAAAACATTTCTTTTAATAGATTAGGTTTTTTTTATTGTAAACTTGCTTCAACAAACTATAACTCTAAAGAAAATGTTTTTTTTTAAAACGTTAAATGCCTGATTTTGAAATAGTCTCTCGTTTTCTAGATGCAGCTTTACTCATCCCCCCTCCCCACCACACACACACGTCCCAGACTGGGTAATTTACCTGTTCATGTTCCACTCCTGCCTCCAAAATTGCAGACTGAGTGAAGGCCCTTTAGAAAAAATGAATCCTTAAACATTAAAGATTGTTCTTGTCATGGTTAAGTATGAAAGCAGGTTGGAGAATGGCTTGGAATTTTTGCCATTTGACTCTCATGCTGACAGCAGTCAGTGTTGCAAATACCCAGACTCTTCAGACAGATGGTTGCCTCTAGCACTGAGCTCAGACATGCCAATTGAAATTAAAAATGTTCACGGTTTATATACAGTGAAAATTGTTTCTGACCCTTCGAACTTACATATTGAACAAAATGGGTGTAGTTTGCCTTTCCTCATACATCCTTTTTTCCAGGTGTCAGAATTTACTAGGCTTCAGGTGTACGTGATACGATTTCCCTAATTATTATTTGTTGCTGTCTGGAGTGGCTCACAACTGTGAGTGCCTACCTGAGGGCAGACTGTCAGAAAACAGAGCAGATACCCCAAGCTGATGGTGTGTTCTATAATTAGATTTCATCAAGCCAGTAACAAATGTGAACTTCTGGTTTACTATACCAGTTTTACCATGGAGTCACAGACAGTCCCATTAGACTCTCTAGCCTATCTTGCCACCCAGACAAACAGAACTTTGTGATAATGGTCACTCAAACCAAAAATCACACCACATCAGGTTTCTCCCAGTCCAAAGAGAGCAGTCACTTACCCCAGATCATTTGGTACTCCAGATCTTACACAAAAGACAATGCTGACAGCTAAATCTATAGTAAACTAACTAAAGATTTTTTAGCTGAGAAAAAAGAATGAGAGTTATTGAGAGGTTAAAGGAGGTACAATATATGTACAGGTGAATCACAGTTTGTAATTCCAAATGGTGGCAATGATGTAATAAACTACCAGTTTCCCAAAAGTCTTTCAGGGCTACCCAGAATAACTCTGGGGATCTGCACTATGCATCTGGTATACTTCCCTGAAAGAGTCCAAAGGATCTTTCTTTGCATTCATTCTTATAGCTTCTTCTCACAAAACACAAGCTAACAGAGTCTCTACCCATGTGACGCTGAGTGAGGAATGCACTTTGAGTCTCTGACCTCAGGTCGTCACACACAATGGCCATTTGCTTTGGAACTAGCATCTTTTCTCATAAAGCCCTTCATTAGCATTCCACAAAACTTCTTTGATGTCTGATGAGTTATTTAGTTGCAGGCGTATTTACAATGTAAATATTTGCTATTACACTATGACAGGACACAGATATGTAAAAACAATGCATGTAACATCCCATTAGTTTTATGAAGTTTAAACACCAAACACACTCTTCTACAGTGAACAGTGTACTTTGATCTATACTAATACACACATGAATTCACATGAGTACACTCTATCATGACCTGGTCTGCCAGCGTCATAGTTGCTTCCATCTGCCAGTACCAAGTGGATTAAATGATAGCTAGAATGTTAACAGCTGTAAGGGGGAGGTTATTGAACGTATCTGGCCTACCTGTGGCCATCTTGCTAAAAGTACTATAGAGTCTATGCAGCACACTTTTGAGATGTAGTGCACAAAACTGGTGCACAGATTCCAGTTCATTGTTGAGAGCGAAAGCAGATCAGATCACATGGAAAATTACTTGCTGAACTTAAGTGCTACTATAAAGAGAGTCCAATGTATATTGCGTATGATTCTGGTAGATTATCTGAAAACTTCTCTTTATTTTTTTAAAAGCCCCAAATTCATTGTAGTTTTAATCTGCAGTTACTGAATTTCTGTAGGTGTGTTTCTCTGTGGTGTGTATTGTGTGGGCTTTTATTCAGAGCTCTTGAACGACAGCAGCAGCAGCTGTTGAGTCGTTAGTAAAAAACAAACCAGGAAAACCAATGTAGCATTGTCATCTGCCCTACATTCAACAAGATCATCAGATAACAAAAGTAAGCAGCACAATAAAACCTTTTAGATATCCCACCACTTCCTGCTAGTGGATTTTGCAACCTAAAGTAAATCATGAGACCAGGCTCGTTTCATTTAGCTTTAAAAGCTGGTAGAATTTAATCAACTTCTCTCTCTCTCTCTTTCTTTCCCCCCTTCAAATATTGACATTGAACAGCAACCTTGTTTAAAAATAAATATCAGTTTTCCTGGCTGCACTTGCTGATCTCCTCACTTAAATGCACCTTCTGATCTATTTGACATTACATTATTTATCACAATTTCTAACACTGTCTTGAGGCCTAATGCAGTTCAGTATCATAGCTCATTATTCCCTTGAATGATATTAAGATGCTATTGCTAGTTTACTTCTAAATACCATTTGACTTAGAAGAAGCAGCTGTCAGTTGTACAGGGACTGAAGTAGTTCACTAGAGAAATACTTTGTTAGAAAATGAAAACTACGAGTTTTATAACTAACTCAGAAGCGGAACAAATCACAGGGAAGCAAAGAGTTTATTGCCATGTGTGGCCAGTTCTTCCCTTCCACTGTGGTGGTTAGGCTGAGATTTGAAATCAGAGCCGACATCAGTCATCTAATAATTTAAAAGAAAAATCATATGAGAATGCTAGTATGGACTAAAATGGCTCAGCAGTAGGCAGAGAATATAGTTGCTCATAGATATCCCTGACCTTTAATATATTAGACAGTTTCTTTAATTTTCTCTCTTTTTCAGGAGCAATATCGTTTCTGCTATGATGTCGCTTTGGAGTACCTTGAATCATCTTAGTTGGAATGGATGTGACAAAGTGAACCAAGTATATGAAGCTCAGTAAACTGTTTTGATAGCAGTTGTTCAACCTGTGAAGAGAGATTTTAGTGAGGGGGACTTTTAAAATTTAAATGCAAAAGTATTTTTCTTATGAAGTTGTGGATCTTAATAAAAGAACTCAGTCTGTTTCTATGCCTGTATACAGTATCAACATTTAATGTCACATAAATAAATTTAATGAAATCCAGAGTCAGAAGAAATTTGCTCAAATTAGGACTTTTCAGTGTTTGTATATACAGCCGTCTCTCAAATACAGTAGAGCCACCATCTGTTGCATGTATCAATATTTCCTATATGGTATTATTTTTCCTTTTCCTTTTTCTTTTGATAAATTGTTAAAGTAAAACAAAACTGTGCAGATTGATAGTAAAATTCATTCTTTATACGTTTCAAGTGTTGCAACTCTATATAACTGGCTTATTTTGTTTTAATGTGCAATGATGGCTGGATCACATAAAGTTCTTTATAGAGAAACTTCAACATAAGCCAAAGACTCAAGTGTAAATATGTCTATATGGAGAAAGCACATTGTATTTATTGTTTACTTGCATTCCTTTTTTGATGGCTGAAAAAACAATCATTTTTCTTGAAGAAAGCTTTTTTTGCTGAAATCAAGTGTAAACGATTTTTGTAGTTTATTTTTTGTATGTTGTAGTGTAAGTAGAAGACATACTTTTTATGCATAGATGAGGAAACATTGGTATAGTGATTTTGTTGTGTACATGCTTGTGAATTAAATCCATGTAAACAACTCGGTTATAGAAGGTCTTTAACTACAGGACCAAAATCAAAACATTTTGCTGAAAATGTATAGTTTTTCACAGTTGCATTAGTTAAATATTGATCGAAGGAATATATAAGGAAACCGCACACATTAAAATGGCCTTGCTTATGACTTGCACAATGTTGGAAGTAGTTTCTAAGCACCGTTACAATTTATGGGGAACAAATTATTCAACAATGCTTGAAGCACAGGTCAAGAGAAGAGGACAACATGTAACTTTTCAGAGTAAGAAGTGTTTATTTAGCAAATTGTAAAATTAAATGATGTTTATTTTGATGTTTACAGACATGTAAGCTTTGGCCTCTGACAAAGCAAAATTTGAATAAATCAATGCCAGATTCTGGTTATGGTCTTGGTGTACAAAACAGCCATGTGTTTTTACTTAGTTCTTCATCCACAGTTAACAAATCTTGACATATTTTGCTAGCTAATATCATTCCAGTCCCCTGTTGTTTTTGGAATTGACAGAAAATGACAAGGTGCTTATAAATACTAATGTAAAGTAAGAGTGAATTAAACAACTTTTATAAAAAGATGTTGATTCCATATTATTGCTTATTTTGATAACATTTCATTTATTATCATTACTAAGAAATTGTCATGTTGCTGGAGTAGTGCAATGTCAGTGGATTCCAACAGATGTCCATATTTGCTTAAAGGAAGAAAGACACAGGGCATGCTCCCTCACCCTGGATTTATTTTAGCAAGCAGTCCCCACACACTCTTACGTAAGCCCATCACAGTGTACTTTATTTACAAGGTTGTATACAGCTTCAGGTCCCATCACCATACAGCTTTTTCCGAGTTTCATTGTACCCCCTAGGCACAGGGTGAGAACATGGGAGGAGAGTTCTCACCTCTCTTAGATCTGGGGCTGCTTTGTCCTTCCAGCCCCTCCCCCTTCCTGTGTCTCCCACTTAACCATCCCCAGTTAGTGAGCTGAATCGCCTTGTTAACTGGTTAATCACCCAGCCCTAATCAGTTATCTCCCAATTTGGGGACACTTACAAAGTGCAGAGTAGTGATCCAGCTCTAGGCTATTCCCACTCTCACACTCTGCCTACCGCGTTTTTGTTTGTTTCTTACCAGGGCCTTTTCTCTCCTCCCCTAGGCTCTGCCTTTTCCTCTGGGGGCTGGCATCCCATCCCATGAGCAGTTTCTTTAAGATGACTTTCTAAAATCACTGTAGGAGACTTCTCTATCTTCCACCCACAAAAGGTACATTCCGATGGAGGGGGTATCCACCACATCTCAGTTTTTGCATTTCTGTCTTCACATCATGGGCAATCTTTTGCAGCATCAGACTTCTCCCCTGCATTTGAAGTCTCCCCATCTACTATATTGTCCAGGTTACCCTGGATTGCAATACACTGTTGCTCTTGCTCTGGGTTTTTCAAGCCCTCAGCCTTTTTGCCTTTCTCTCCCTCCTTTGTCCTTCCTTCCAGCCTTCCCTTTTCTGTCTCCCCTTTTAGCTGATCCCAAGTAACGAGCTGAATCCCCTGGTTAACTTGTTAATCACCCAGTCCTACTCAATCATCTCCCAGTTTGGCCCATGTGAGGGTGCTTACAAACCACTTAGTAATTTAAAAAAAAATTTAAAGACTTTCCACCACAGTACATCCCATCCCATCCATCTGCTGTAGATCTCTAAACATGCAAGCACCTGCCCATAAAAATCCTGGAAAAACAGACAAGCTTTGCAGAAGATCACCAAATCTGAACTCTTGATGACCAAAGGGGAGGCCATATAATGTTTTGTGGGGCAAAAGCTGTGCCTAACTGAGAACCATATTTGTCACTTGCTGAACTGGAAAGCAAAATCTAATTTACATAGAGGCTCAGATTGCAACGGCCCTCATCTGCAGGGGTGGCCCACAGACTACAGAATGCAAGTTCTAAAGCTCTGTGTTGATTTGCACAACATCCAGTTCCATCTTACTTCTTTCCTAACCAAAAATCCAGTGGTCAGTCATGCAATAGTGTAGTTACCATGAATGAGCAATTAGTTCATAGTGACATTTCCCATTGAAATTTAAATCTTTTGACGTGGACATGTAGTTTCTGTACACTCGTGCTGACTGGGTGGCCTTGCACATAACTGATGGGTGATAAAGACTCCTCAGAAATTGTTTTCTATCAGGCCAAGGAAGAGTCCCTGTCGGGATGGCAATATCAAATGGGTGTTCCTCACCCATCAGAACTTCTTCCTGTACTAAAGATGCAAATAAAATGGAGTCCTTAAGGCTGCATATTCTGAATGAGGACCGTAATGTCATGTCAGAACTGGCTACTGGAAGCAAATTCTGAGATATGAATTTTCCATCAATGCACCAGCTCTTCCCTCCCCCACCCTCCTTTTCTTACCCAGTGGCAGCAACTGCCAACTTCACTTAGCAGCAGCACCAGCTCCTTCCTCCAAGGCAGAAGCTGCTACATGGTCCCTTCCTTATCCCTGGACAAGACACAAGAAGAGAAGGGGGGGAGTATGCAGCAGCTGCCCCACAGGGAGCAGAACAAGTGCCTCAAGTAAATGAAGTGTACAAGTCCTGTGGCTGAGGGAGAGGATTCTCCTCTGCCCAGGACACGTAGAGGATAGGCTTTTTTTACCTTGTGGCTGTGGAAGAGCTACCAGGACCAGCAGCACTATCTGTCAGCTTACGCCCACTAGCCATCCATGGAAATCAGGGCTCTCTCTCAGTACTGTCCTATCTGCTCCCACCTCTTGCCTCGGCATTAATAGTGACACAGACGTTGGAAGGCAAGCTGTGAACTCCCTGGGTACTGCTCGGCTCTGTTTCAGATATCCAAGCACGGCCCTCCCAGCCTACCTCTGTCAGGAAGTGAAGGCAGAATTGAGTTAAACGGCTAATAGAGATGTAAAGTAAGAGAGAACCAGGGTGTGGCAATAAAGGATAATCAGTGGATTAGTGTGCTATCAGTCAGAGCTAAAATGGGTGCAGTTTCTGAGTTGGCTTAATATTGCACAATGAAAACAGACCCAAGAACAACGAAAGTAATTTTAACTGGATGTAGTGCCAAAAGTTATTCTTTGGTCTAACATTGAAAAAGTGGTTGACCTCAATAGCCTCATCTCTAAATGCTTACAGAACAAGATTTGGCTGTTCCTTTGAAGGCTTCAGTAGATTTCCCATAAAGCAGTACCAAGGTCACTCACTATCTCCCAGTTTTGGTCTGAAACCCTTATCCTGAGCTTGTGTGAGCAGTCACCAGCATTTGTTACATTTGAGAGAAAGCTTTCACATAACAGTGCTCCTGAGCTAATGATGTTTGCCCACAATATTTTATTAACAAACATGAAAATAAAAGCTACTGCAGAACTTCACTTAGCCGCTGTTACAAATGGCTTACTGATTTCCAAGCTATAAGTCCTAACACGACAAAGTGAGGGGCACAATACTAGGTAAGTATTATTAGTCCTAAACTCCACCAAAGTGAATTGAAATGTTAAATTAAAAGAAAGAGACAGCTTGAGAAACATTTTTGTTACAGAATCATTACAGGACTAAGCCACCTGGATTGACAAATGACTATACAAAGGCCTTTTAAAGCCTGATTCTGCTGCTGTTTCAGAAGAAACCGTGAAATCCTGAAGTAAACGTGTAAGCTACTCTCATTCTCTACTGTACTTTCCAGTGGCATACAGAAAGGTCTGCATTGAGTTAAAATAATCTCAGTCTCACAAAGAAACCTACCTGCATGGTACATACTTTCCCTTTGTTAAATAGACAGAACTCTGAGTTCTGAACTTTGCAGATCCACATAGTCAAGTATACCTGCGAAGATTTACTGATGTCTTTACTATCTCAAATTGAATGATCTGTTAATAACTGCTTCTGTACATTGGGGTTGAAATTTTCAAAGCCGGCTAAAGGATTTAGCCAGCAACTTCCATTAATTTCAATAGGATTTTGAGTGGCAAAATCAACTAGTCTGCTTTGAAGATCTCAAACTGTAGGGCCCTATTACTGGGACAAATGTAAATGAATAATATAAAATAAAAAATGTTTGATCTTTTAAAATTTGCTGGATATTGATCATATGGGTATGACCCTAGCGTGAGGGTGTGTGTATTTTGAAATAATCAGTCATCACTGACAAAAATGTTACTTTCATAGCAGGCTGTTTTCTCTGAGATTAATTATTTTCCCAGTACTGAGTTCTGGTACCCAGACTATGCAGGGATTGGCTTGTGCAGTGCGAAGCACATGAGATGTTATCTAATAATAATAATAATACATACTGCCTTTGTCTTGGCCAACCAAGAATGGATGTTTTACTGCCTTGTTGGGACAGAAAACTCAGTTTCAAAAGCCTTTTGTAAGCCTCTCTAACTTCTATCTTCTGTCTGGGTCAGAAAATAGTTTTTTATCATTTGTGAAATCGGGACTAAATTTGAAACTCCATATGCTAAGAGATTTTTCACATCCCACCAAGTAAGCATAAAAATGAAAACTATATAAAAATACTCTCCTGGATATAACAATACTGAAAACCAAAAAAGAATAATAATAATTTTTGCAAGCTTTGGAATACCTTACAACTTTTCAGTGGCATGCACAAAACCAGCATCTGGCAAAGCACAGCACCTCCAGATTGTGATAATACGTGCATGTTTTTATGCCAGGTGCAAAACAGTGTGAGCTTTTTCCAGTCCATGATGGGTAGCTTGACTCTTTCTTGGGCTGTAGTCCACGAAAGCTTATGCTCTAATAAATTTGTTAGTCTCTAAGTTGCCACAAGTACTCCTGTTCTTTCTTCTGTGACTCTCATCATATAAAAAGCGGTAACTAGAACAAGATTCAATTTGATTTTTGAACTTCTTGCCATGTTCCTAGCATTTTAAAGAAGTCTTCAACTAAAGGAAGAAATTGTCCATTCGTATTACAGTGACCAAACTTTAAAAGTTCCTCCCGGTTCTACAGAGATTCCAGCAGTATTCCCCATTTTAAGTATAGGGAACTTGTCTGAAACCTTTACTGTCTGTCTTGAGGGCATGAAAGTAAGTTACTTTGTTATAAGTGTAAAATTAAGAACTGCAGAAAAATTCTGAAAGAAAAGTTCTTTGTGTTAGAAATTGCAACTGTGCATATCAAGAACTGTGGGTTGAATCCTGGCCCCACTGACTTCAAGGACAACAGTCCTGTTCAGTAATATCGGGATTTCACCCAGTATCTTTCAATTGGTTGCTAATCTACATATAAATACAATATATAAATAGATAAATCCATTGGCCCAGATGAGATGTACTTGGTGTAGGCCCCAGGGTTAGGAAGATGGCTCATAGGCACCTTTCTACTCCCCCTAGCCTGCGGTCACCCAGTTGCCAAAATGGTCCCTACTGCAAATTAGGAGCTCAAAGGCCGCTTCTATATTTTCTGAAAATGTAATTCATTCTATAAATATGTGAGAGTCTGTGGTCAATGTGGAGCATATAGAAAACAAGAGATTTTGGAAGCTGTTGTGCCATTGGTATCAAAATCTTGCTTAGGGACATCACAATAACTGTGTTGCA